AACAATAACAAGAAGGTTGTTTCCAAAGGTTTTTAAAGGAAACTTATCTCCAGATTTAATATTTTCTCCGTTCATTTTTATTTTGAGAATCCCAGAAGCAACTTGATTAATGGATACATTTCTAGGAACTTCAGCTAACATAATTGGATTTTTTTATAGCCTCACTCTTACAGCAAAAGCTCTTTTGTTTAAATAGAAATTTAAAATAGGAAAAAATATTATATTTGTAAAACATTTAAAAATAATATACTCAAGGCCGGCATGATAGGGGTTTGTGGGGTGACATCCCCCCCCCCCCCCATCAATGATTTTTTTGTTCATTTAGTCGGCAAATTTGACCCTTTTTGACTAGTTAGTCGGCAAATGTAGACCCTTTTGACAGGTTAGTCGGTAAATTTAGACAGTCAGTCCGCAAATGTCTTAGGCAGTCGGCAAATTTTCAAAAACGAGGACCTTTTTTTTTTAGTCGGCAAAAGTTGTAATAGCAACCCCCCCCCCCCCACGTGACACCTACTCGCGCCGGCCCTGAATATACTAATATTTAAAAACATATAAAAATAATATACTTATATTTAGTAAGTAATATTTATATTATTTAAGTCTATCATATACTATGCATTGACTAGCATAGACTCTATACTAAATTTAGTTTTTTTTTAACAGTAATTGAAGAAATATTAACTAAAATATTATATAAGTCATACAGTATTTTAAATTTGTTTAAGGAAATCATACCTATTGTAGAAAAGCAAGAAGGACATATCTTTTTAATAATTTTATTAACGATGTCTTGATTATTGGTTGTGATCTGTTCAGATATTTCACAAATATCAGATGATATTAGTGAAAATCTGAGGTTTTGTCTGTTAACTTGAGATATTTTCTCAACCCAATTATTTAATTTTGATGTTTCACCCCTGTTCAACGCATATAAATTTGTTTTGCAAGAATTTCATTTTTTGGACAACACTCTTATTCTACATCATATTTTCTCCAAAATAAATTTTAAATATGAAGTTGTACTGCGGTAGTTACTTTAATAAGTTTATACGATACTTTTCCAAATGAAATAAAGCAACATGAAAAAAACTAAAAAAAACCTTATAAATCTCTAGATTAAGTTATTAAGAATACCTTTCAGCTTAATAGTTTTAGTTCTGACATACTATACAATATTTCTAAAATTTTAATACTTGGCGAACTTATCTACTTATCGAACTGTGTACTTGTCCACAATAATATGCCCAGCGGCTTTACTATTTTAATTTCACAAATGATATTTATAGTTATAAACTTAGGTCTGTATCTCTCTATGCTTTTAAAACATTGACATAAGTATGGCATATATCAAGCATTAAGCATCAATCAATTCTCTGTTGGAACTCTCTTCCTGCTGAAACTAAAAAAATATTCTTGAAAATGACAAATAGAAATGCCTTCATAACTCATGTAAAAAAGTTTGTCTTCAATAAAAATAATCAATGAACTATCTTTTATGCAATCACCCCATAGCTATTCTCTATAACTATACTTTTAATAAAATAAAAGTATAAAACACATAAATAAAAAATTAAAACTCTAAAAATAAAAAATATAAATATTCATTTAGTCTCAATTAAATACTTTATTCATTCTATAAAATTTATTTCTGTAAAATTTATTCTGTAAAGTTTATATGTGGCATTGTTATGCCATGAAATTTGTGGCATTGTTATGCCATGTAACATGTAATAAATTTACTATTTTCTATATAATTTACTATTTTATATAAAATTTACTATTTTCTATATAAATAGTTAATCTAACAATTAACTATTTTCTATATAATCGCCCCCGCTTAATTCTCTATAACAATTTTTTATTTAATTCTTTTTATTTTACTTTAATGCATATTCAATATTTCTATTTCTTTCTAAAATACTAAACATAAAAATTTCTGGTTCATAACAAAACTTTCCTGGTACTTCTCCTTCTTCAACTTTTCTTTCCCAGTCGTTTCCAGCTTCTCTCCAATTTCTTCTTTTTATCTGTTATATTTTTTGTTATTGATATTATTATGGTTTTTATATTTTTTATTTTACATTATTGTTAATGATTATCACTATTTGCTACAAATCTTTTATTTTGATTAAAGCAATAACTGTTTGTAAATGTCCTGCACGCAGGGCCGGCGCGAGTAGGTGTCACGTGGGGGGGAGGGGGTGCCACTACATTTTTCCGACTAAAAAAAAAAAAAAAGGTCCTCGTTTTCCAAAATTTGCTGACTGTCATGACGACATTTGCCGACTGTCTTGATTAACAACTAACCTATATCGAAAGGGTCGACATTTGCCGACTAACTAGTCTAAAAGGGTCCAATTTGCCGACTAAAAATCATTAATGGGGGGGGGGGGGTCACATCCCCCACATTGCGCCGGCCTTGCCTGCACGATTGTATATATAGAGTGAAAATATACTGATTTGATTTTGATTTGACATGCACAAATTAGACATTTTCGTCGGCCATTTTGACAAAAAGTGTAAGTTTTATATGATCGCTTCTAACCGTAATAATAATTATTTTTATTTGTATTGCAGCAGTTTAAAATATTTTATTTAACCCAATAGTAGTAAATAAACAAAAAAAATTAGAGAAAACTAAAATTTACCCTGGCGGTCTCAAAGAGCATAATGGATGTACAACCCTCGGAATTAAGAAAAATGAGGTCGACAATAGTTTGCCGACCTCATCTTTCTTAATTCCGATTTTCTTAATTCTTTTAGATGTCGGCAGCAGATCGGCAAAAAATTTTGATAGAAAGGTCCGATATTGTTTCTTAAAGCAGAAACAATATCGGTAATTTTTTGCTGACCTCAAACACTTTTAGGTCGGCAGTTTGGTCAGCATTGGCGAATGCCGACTCAAATTTCGATGATTGGATATATCAAAATTAGGGATAACAATTTTATTTCAAACATATGGTGCTCAAAATGTAATGCAAAATTTGTTAAATTTTGTGCTGCAAATTGGTTCATATATAAAATTTTTATTTCTAAGTAAATAGAAATGAGAGCAGCCGTGGGGCAGCAGTAGCGCACTTGCCTCAGAAACAATGAATCCGTGATTAAAATCCCACCTCTAGACAAATATGGCGACATCGGTTAGGAAGGAAGCGTGTACTTCCAACTAAATGCTCATCCGCGGTGCTCAGTGATAAGACCATATGGACTTCTTGGGGCACCTAAAATAAAATTAATAAAATATTTGTTAATTGGGTTTAGAGAAAAAAGGTCTTTAAAGATAGGTAAAGTTAAACCGTTTTTCCACATGTAGATAAAGCATAAAATGTTATAGACATTGAGCTCGTAATTATTGAGTATTTTTATATCCATAAATAATGATTTGAAATAAGTAAAACAATCCGCAAAATAATTCAATCAGATCGCATGCTTCTGACTTTTTGGCAATTTTTGGGGTAATTAGCGTTTTTTAGAAAGCGAATGTAAAAGAATCTATTTAGTTTTTTTAATGTTAAGAGTTAACTTATTATATTTGAACCAAGTAAATATGTTTTTAAGTTTATCATTCATTGTAGAAAAGAGTTTTGATATGTCATAATTAGTCAGGAATAAGTTGGTGTTGTCGGCAAACATGATACTCATTAAGTTTGAGACTTTATTTAAGGATTAAGAATAATAGTGGCCTCAAGATAGAACCTTAAGGAACAACGCAGGAAATATTTAGAAGATGGCCTTGGTTATATTTATTAATAAAAACAAATTGTTTGCGGTCTGATAAGTAGCTTCGAAGCCATTTTATAGTTATATAGTTTATTCCGTAGTATTTTAGTTTTTCGAGCAAAACTTCATGGTCGACAGTATCTAAAGCCTTTGACAAGTCAATAAAAACACCTAATCTAAATTGGTATCTTTAAAAGGAATTTGAGATTTCTTGTACATATTGGATGATTGCATGTTCAGTGGTACTATTTTGAAACCAAACTGATTATTATATAAAATATTATTGGAAACAAGATAATCGTGTAATCTATTGTACATTATTCGCTTTGAATTTTTTTGAAAAAGTAAAAAGGATTGAAAAAAGTAAAAAGGATTAGGCGATATTTAGTGATATTCTATCAGTCTTCTTTCAAAATTGGAATAACTTTTTCAATTTTTAGTCGATCAGGAAAAACTCCTTGATGGACAGATGATTTATAAAATTTAAAAAGAATTTTTTTTTTTTTTAAGTTGAATAAGGTGCCCCAAGAAGTCCTTACGGTCTTATCACAAGAGCACCGCGGAAGAGCATTTAATAGGAAGTTCACGCCTCCTTCCCAACCGATATCGCAAAACTTGCCCAGAGGTGGGGTTTCAACCACGGATCTTACGTTTCTAAGGCAAGTGCGCTACCACTGCGCCACGGCTGCATTAAGAATATCATTAAGACCGTAAGGTCTTGTTGAGAAACCTCAAATAAAAAATAATAAAAAAAAAAAAAGAAGTATTAAAAATTAAAAAAATCTTTGTAAATACAATTCTTTGTGAAATGCATACGAAATACAATCTTTTGATCTTGAATAAAAGACGAAAGAATTGTGTCTGAAATGAAGAATTAGCAGAATTAATAATATAGAATATCAAAAAATTTAAAACCTAAATATTAGTCTAGATCAAACGAAAATATAATTTAGCAGCATGAGCAGTTCTGTCAAAGCTGCTTTTTTTTCATTAAGCCCTCCAAGATAGGCCAACAAGATAAGCTTTAAAGTGAAAAGGTACAGTTATTAGTTTTTAAAAAAAGTCCTTTACATCTTGAAATTTATATATAAAAAAAAACCACTAGAGGGCATGGCTCAAGTCATGGCCTCTAGTGACATTGCGTCTCTCTTAGCTTTATTATTGTAATGTTTTTTTTTAGTTAGTCAAATAAGTATAGCTCCTGGCGTAAAAAAAAAAAAAATTCTTACAGTTCCGCAGAAAGTAAAAAAAAAAAAATTCCTCGGAAAACCGGAATACCGCCCTACATTTTGAGGCTAGCCATGCGCAACAATGAAATAGTGTCTTGAGCATAACTCAGGACTTGGGATAAATAAAAATATTCTTTAAAATATGGATCAAAACAAGCAATTCTTGCTATCACTGTCTATCGTTGGAATTACTGCAGGTGTGTTTTATTTATTGTGGAGAAATAAAAGTAAAAAAATACTCATTGCTCTTGATCGAGAAAAAAAACAACCATTTAAATTAATCGAAAAACAAATTATCAACCATGACACAAGGCGATTTCGTTTTGCACTACCATCTCCAGAACATGTTTTAGGTCTGCCTATAGGGAAACACATGTATTTATCAGCAAAAATTGATGAAAAACTTGTTGTTCGTCCTTATACTCCAGTTACATCCGATGATGAATTAGGATATTTTGATCTTGTGATTAAAGTATACTTCAAAAATGTGCACCCAAAATTTCCCGATGGTGGGAAAATGACTCAATATCTTGAAAATATGAAAATTGGTGACACTATTGATGTACGGGGACCATCAGGATATCTATCTTATATAGGATGTGGAGAATTTAAAGTTGAAGAACCAAAAAAGCCTACTCGTACAATGAAGTGTAAAAATCTTGGATTAATAGCTGGTGGTACTGGAATTACCCCGATGCTGCAAGTTATAAGAGCTATTTTTAAGAATTCTAAAGATCGTACAAAGGTATACCTTATATTTGCCAACCAAACCGAAGAAGATATATTATTACGTAATGAGTTGGAACAGATTTTGCATGATCATAAAGATCAGTTCTCACTTTGGTATACTTTAGATCGTCCAGCTAGTGGATGGATGTATGGAGTTGGTTTTATTACTGAAAAAATGATAAGTGAACATATGCCAACAAGTTCTGATGAATCAGTTATTTTGATGTGTGGACCCCCTCCTATGATTAATTATGCATGTATACCAAATCTAGTGAAGCTTGGTTATGATGAAAATCAATATTTTTCTTTTTGATTAGCAAAATTGTATTGTTTTACAAAATACACTAATATACAATGAATGGTACAATTAGTTGAAGTTTTCAGATGTTTTTTTTGAAACCAGAAAATTTCTTAAAAGTTAAGGTCAGTTAGGCCATAGTTGTTTTATCTTTTTTTTAGTTCTAAATTACTTTTTTCAATTTTTTTTTAAATTCAAAAATTTCAAAATCTCTTAGGTCTGATCATTTTTAAAGTTATTTTTTTACATTACATACTTCGTTTTGATTTTACTTTTTTTTTTAAATTTTCACACGCTTTTTGATTTAGTTATAAACTAAGATGATTAAGTTATAAACTAAGTACATAACAATTTTTATTGTGATAAAATTAAAAATGTTTTTTAAAATTGTTTATAAATTTAACAAATAGTTAAAAAGAACTGCTAGTTTTTGTATTCTATTATTTTGTGTGTGTTCGTGGGCTTAAGCTTGTAACTTTTTTTTATTTATATTTTTAAAAACTAAGCATGCTTTTAAAATAAAAAGTGAAACTTGTACTATTCTGACAGGGTTCCCACACCTCCTTAAAAACCTTAAATACCCTTAAAAAATAAAAAAACCTCTTTAAATGTTCTTAAATAACCTTTAAAAAAGTTAAAATTTGATTGCTCTCCTTAATTTCTCCTTATTTTTTTTTTATTCATCTAGAAAATTTTTTTAAAGTGAATGGATTATACTTGTTAATAAAGAAGATAATATATAGAATTTTGATAGTTTTCAAACCTATTTTTGTTATTATATATATATTAATATATATATATTAATATATATATATTAATATATATATATATATATATATATATATATATATATATATATATATATATATATATATATATATATATATATGTATATATATATATATATAAAGTAATAATAATTCCTCTGTTTATATTTAAAATTTATTGAATACAATAAGATTATGTTTTTAATGTAATGGTTTTCTCCTTAATTATCCTTATTTTTTTTTTCAAAAAAATGTCGTTCGTGACCAAATCTCCTTAAATATTAGGAAAATATCTCCTTAAATCTCCTTAAAATCCTTAATTTTAGCCTTAGTTTTAATAGTGGGAACCCTGTTTGATCATTTCTAATTTTTTACTATATTTTACATGGTTTAGGTTTGAGGGGGTATTATCTAGATATCAAGAACTTTGTTTTAATGATTTTTCTTCCTTTAATGAAAAAGCTTTTTTGGTTTGAGTTGCGATTTTAAAACTTAAATAATGATAGAATAGTGCTCATCTAAATCAGCAAAAGTGTAAATAGTAATATATAGTACTTTTTACAACTATGCTTTTATTTCTATGCAACATGTTATAATATGTTTTTAGTTTTTAAAAATGACACACTATCAATCAATTTTTAAAACATTAAAGTATTCTTCTTTGGCTTCTCAAATTAGGGCTTTACACCTTTCATCTGTGATATACAAAGAAAAATATAATATGGAAAAAATAGAATTTAATGAGCTTTTGAAAGAAGTTAACATGACTAATAAAAACAAAAGCAAACCTATGCCTGTTGTAGATCTGACTTCTACTAGAGGAATTACTGTTAAACATTTAAATTCAGCCAGTCAAAACTCAGCTTTTTTGAAACATTGTCTTGAATCTCAACCTAACAAAGATGGCTTTATAAAAGCAGTTGACCAATGGATTAATAAAAATAAAGTTCGCCATGGCCATATTGATTTTATAGCTACTGCTATGAAGTTTATAGAACCATATGGTCTAGGTAAAGAAATTGAAGTTTATCAAAAGCTATTTGATGTGTTTCCGAGAGACAGGTTTAATAATAAAACTTTACTGGATGCTGTATGGCCGAAACCTCATCCACAGATGCATTTGGCTCTTGATATCTTGTCAAAAATGGAAGAGCATGGAGTTAGTCCAACTTTAGAATTACATGATCTTGTTTTTGAGATTTTTGGAAGAGCTAGCTTTCCATTGAAAAAGATATATAATATGTATTTTTGGTTTTATGAAACAAAGGATATTAATCCTTACAAATTGCCAGAAGAAGTTTATAAAGATAGACTGAATGTAATAAAAGCAGCAATAGATCGAATTCTTGGAAATAATAAAGGAACACAAGTTGTTGAGGTATTCTAATCTTTTTGAATAGTTTTTGTTGATAAAACAAATACTTTTACTTTTTTTAAATGTTATCTTTAATGTTTAAAAATAGTTTATAATAAACTATTTTTAAACATTAAAGATAACATTGAAAGTAAAAGTATTTTATAAGTTTGTTATAAACTTATAAAACATTTTATAAGTTTATAATAAACTTATAAAATGTTTAAGTATTAATACAATGTAAACATGTATATATATATATATATATATATATATATATATATATATATATATATGTATATATATATATATATATATATATATATATATATATATATATATATGTATATATATATATATATATATATATATATATATATATATATATATATATATATATATATATATATATATATATATATATATATATATATATATATATATATATATATATATGTATATGTATATATACAATTAATACATCTATTTTACAAAATATATTGATTTTAACAACTATTGATATTGGCAGTTTTATTTTATTTATTTATTTTTTTTTCTAATCTAAAATGATTATAAAACTATATTTTTATAGTCGCAGTGTCAAAGTTTGTTTTTTGCGTTTTCTATTTTAATAAGAATTTTATTCGAGTGTTTAAATGTATCTGATTAAATACTTCCTAAATAAAAACTAAAAAGTTTTATCATTTAAACAAAAATACAATTTTATTTTTTATTTTTATTTTTTACAAATTCTATTTAAAGATTTAGAGATAAAGTAATAGAATTAAATTTGCCAAAAAACTTTATTTTGACAGCCCTTGTTAAGAAGCATTGTGCAGCTCGCACTTTTCTTAAATGTCGAAAGCGTTCAATTAGGCAAAAAAAAATTTTGTAAAATGTAAACATCAAAAGGGTTCAGTTAAAAGAAAACTTTTTTTTGGAGTATTAAATTATCTTTTAATTCTGTTTATGTGATGTTTATTCAGAAAATATTAAGTCATAAAAAAAGTATTTAACCGCAACTGAGAATTTTTAAAGAAAAAAATTGTTTTATAAAAAAATTTTTTTTTTCTATTTTACATTCTTTTGAGAGAATGTAAAATAGTAAAACAATAAATGTAATCATTTATGAACATTAATTATGTTTAAAGATATCTTAATTGGTAACTGATAAATCTATAAATTGTTTATAATCTTTATTAAAAATATTATATTTAATAGGTAAAAATTAAAATAGATAAATAAATTGTGATAAACAAACAAAAGACTATGTTAAATATAAGATTGTTTTAAATAAATTGTAAGAAAATATAATCTTTTTCAAATACCGAATTTAGACTCTGTTAATAATTTTTGTTAAATTAGTTTAAATAATTTTGATGTCTAAAATTAAATATAATTACAACGCGATACTCAAAAGTACTTTGAAATGGGTTTTAAAGTATATGTAAATTGTTTTTTTATATTTGTCAATACTTTATTGTTGTAAAAAAAAGAGCACTTATTTAAAACAAAACATTATCAAGTGAAAAACCTAATGGCGTATATAGCGGCATGCATTTTATCTGAAAGTAGATAAGTGAATGTTATATATAACTGACAATTTTACTTTTATTTATGCAAATTATTTCTAGTCTACACTCAGCCCTATCCTATCGCATCTAGTTTCTTTTTTGAAATTAAAACCTGTATAGATATCTAATTGTCACGATCCTAGCATAAACCAAAAATGTGTGTATATTATGAGCAGTTTTACTCAAGTTTAACACCTTTTTTGAGGTTTTAAAGTCAAATTATGTCGCATGAGGTTTTAAAGTCAAATGTATGTCACATCAGTTTTTTCACATTCCTTATGAAAATTTATTATAATATATTACTATGTTTCCATAACAGTGAAACCATTTTAACTGGTCTTTATGGTAAATAGTCATAGTTAATTTCGTTTATCCTTTTTTTTAAAGAAGGTTTCAAACATGCAACTGAAACCAAGCGTTTTTCTGAGTTGTTCTGGCTGGGGTAATGAAAAATGACTATAATATGCAAGAACATAAAATGCAAGAATTGTTATAAAGAAGTAGCGATAGGCAACTCAAAAAGTTGGTGACCAAAATGAATAAACTAGTTACTTGTACCTTAATTTTTTTTTTTATGTCAACAAAATTTCTGACAACGTTGCAAGGGTTTATATATATATATATATATATATATATATATATATATATATATATATATATATATATATATATATATATATATATATATATATATATATATATATATATATACATATATATATATATATATATATATATATATATATATATATATATATATATATATATATATATATATATATATACATATATATATATATACATATATATATATATATATATATATATATATATATATATATATATATATATATATATAAATATATATATATATATATATATATATATACATATATATATATATATATATATATATATATATATATATATATATATATATATATATATATATATATATATATATATATATATATATATATATATATATATATATCTTGGCTGTTTCACTCAATATAAAAGCGAGCTTGACGTCACAGTTATTTTTGTGTTTATCAAAAAAAAAAGTATTTCCGCAAAAAAAGTTTAAAAATGCACTAACTTTAAAAAAGTAGTGTTTTTTTCCTATAAGCGCCTTCATCTTCAAATAAAAAAAATATAAAAGACCTATCTTTTTTTTTTAAATAAATATTTACATTGAACGGAATAAAAATATTAATGTTTAAATATTGCTAATGATTTGGGTTCACTTTTCTATTTTTTGTGGTTTTTACAAAAAACCTGACTTGGGTCAACTAAGATTTCATAACATAGCTACATGGTTGAAATCTCAAATCTCATGGTTGAAATTTGGAACATTTATAAATAAATGTCTATTTTATCTAA